TCATCGTATGCTATGATTTGTAATTAAAAGCTACATATTTTTGCAATGCGACTTCAGTTGCATCAGTTTTGCAAATTTCTAATACACTCTTGCAATACAGAGAACTTGTTTTGGGATCACTACGACCACTGTGGGTTCGTGGTGCGATTTCAGCCAAAGTTCATGGATTATTTTGTGTATTTGTGGTGAACTTTGGGACTATTGTGCAACTGACACTATTTCACAATAATAATTCTGACCTGGTAATTTTATACAGCATTTAATAGACGTGAGCACTGCTTGGATTGTAGATCTAGCCTTTGTTTTGGATGTGGCAACCTGAAATATCATGTTGCAATAATACTATTTGAAAGTAAAGCTGCAATATGTAACATTTCAAAGGAGAGTCTGCTACTGGGAATGGCATCAAACCTCTAGTATTTATTCAGTTACTGATGTTTAATTGCAAACAAGAATATTTAGGGTCACATCTTCACAGACCTGACCTGTAACTTGGCCTTTTTGAAGTATTAGTTCTTTTTAGCAGACCAGTGTGTTGTTTACACATATCTTGACATTTTTCAAATGCCTTCTGCATCATTCTTTAGAAGGGTCATGTGATGTTACATTTGGTGCCAGACCAAAATGAACTTCTTTAAAGTTTAACTTGGCTTGCTTGCATCATGCACTTCACTCCATGGAAATAGATAGCAGATAGATAGCGCAGTTGAAAAGTTACAGAGTGCAACTTTATAGCGGTCCATAATTAAACTAGCCGACCCGCCCATGTTGCATTCCCACATATCCCCACAAGATGCTATCTACGTTACTGCAGTCTGATAGTGAGCCAGCTTTGACTTGACAGAGCACAGGCGAAAAAAGGCTAGGTGAGGGGAGGGGGGGGCAGGTTTCACAAAACAATCTAAAAAACGTATAGCTGGTAGCTTTAAGTAAGAATTCCAACGACCATGTTTGGAAATGATTGTGTTGACGGCACATAGTTAAGTGCAGTCACTCTATGGAAGAGCCCTGTGCATTAGTTTACATTTCACTTGTGGTTTTAAGGGTATAATCAGTCCATAGGCAATATATCCCATAGGTTTTCAACTTTTAGAGACTGTGATAACACAATTAAATACACACCAGTTTTCAGAAAAGACACATTTTATTATACATTACAATAATGTCACCTTTTTGTTAATGAAATCTAATAAAAGTGAACTCTATAGCGCCCCCTAGCATAGACATGAAACGTCAACATTATCGGATTTGTACCAAATTCGGGACATAAATTCTATGTATGATTACAAGCAAAAAAGTCTATTACAGACATGATGCATTTTCCACTATTGGCCAGCAGGGGCGCAAAGACTCCCCCAAAAAATTGTTAAAAAATTATTACACCCACAGGCTTAGTCCGATTGTGCTGAAATTTTAATCACTAATGCCTGATCATGGCCTGAATATAATACACTATAAAACATATGAAAAATGAACTCTATAGCGCCCCCTAGCATTGACAAACATCAACATTATCGGATTAGTACCAAATTCAAGGATTAAATTCTAGACATGATTACAAGCAAAAAAGTCTATTACGGACATGATGCATTTTCCACCACTGGCCAGCAGGGGCGCAAAGACTCCCCCCAAAAATAGTAAAAAAATGATGACATGCCCATGTTTAATCGGATCGTGCTGAAATTTGAACCACTAATGTGTGATCTCAGCCTGAATATAAAACAGTATAAAACATATTAAAAGTGAACACTATAGCGCCCCCTACCATTGACATGAAATGTCAACATTATCAGATTAGCACCAAATTTGGGGATTAAATTCTACGCATGATTACAAGCAAAAAAGTCAATCATTCTGCACCCCTATGATGAACAGGAAGTCGGCCATATTGGATCAAACATTCGCCGCCGTTTTGACTTGGGGGTCTACAAAAAGATTCAAGTCCCCGGGGTTTGGTCCAAATGAGCTCAAATTTGACATGTCACATCTACAGACATAAACTCACAGAAGTTGCCAAATTTTTTTGGGATACTCCTTACAGTTCGCCCGTAGCACGCCGGCGAAAAACGCCTTCATTTCCTGTTTTTTCGGTGACCTGTCACGGCCACAGGCATTGTCCTAGAGAACTCAAATTCGAAATCACAACTGTGTGAATGTAATGAAATCACAAATCACAAATCGAAAATCACATATCGCTTAACGGAAAAGGCACATTTAGCTTGACACAGAGCAAATCGTACAAAGATTTCAAACAGTAGACTTCACAGAGGAGACTTTACAGAGTAGATTTCACAGAGTAGGTCGCACTTTTTATCTGCGTAACAGTAAGTACAGCAGCACTTACAAAACAACTCAATTATAAAACAAAAATGGCCAGAAATAACAGAGGAAATATACCCTTGACCTTAAACCATGACCTTAAACTAAAGAACTGTGGTCTTCGTGTGATAAAGAGTAGACGGGTGTGCAAAAATATTGAAATATCGATATATCGTATCGTTTAATGTGATGACACAGTATCGATATTGTGGGCTGCTCTATCGATATATCACCAAGAGTATTTTTGGTTTATTTTACTAAATGATTTTGTTACAGCTACAGTTTCGTTGTTTGTTTAGTGGAAGGAAACTCGTTTGACATTTTCGCTGTTTTGAGGATTAAAATGTTTGTGTTTCATATGAACTTTGCACAAGAAGTGGTTTAACAAAGATTTTCCATGATTGGCCCTCACCACTAACAAAGTTAGGGGCGAGGGGTATTGTTTTTCGTCGGTTTCTTACGTTTGTTTGTTTATCGCCGCGCCGGGGCGAGGGCCACCATCACCGCGCGCGACTTTAATTTTGTTTGTTGTTTCAAAATACCTTGTTTGGATTTTGCGCATCTTTACATATTTTTAATATATAATCTGTTACCTGAATGACTGAAAACTACCAAGCACTACTTATTATTCGAACATTGTAATGACTCCATCTGTTGATTGAAATGAATAACAAACTTTGTCATAGCACTACTCACTCAACTTATTATTCAGGCTTAGTAACTACTTAATTAATACCCTTTATTTGATCATTCTTAATAAATCAATTAAGTCTTGGTTCATACTTGGTGTTATTACAACGTGTAGGGCTGCAGTTGATTAAACAAATTCTTGGTCAAATAAAGACATGTCCTGCTGGTTGATTAATCGACTAAAATGGGGGCACAGCAAAAGCTCTCAAAACTATTTCAAATCTCAATGTATCTGACCCAAACTGCATTCACAAGACTACACCTGCAAACAACAATTTATGCTAAAAAGTACTAGAAAACTATATATTTATATAAACTTTTGAATCATGAGTTTAATCTGCCTGTTTTACATATAAATATCAACAAAAATACTAAATTGATACTGATATAACTTACTATCTTCTCATTTCTGCTGTTGTCCTTTATAGATCCTTATTATATAAATAAAATGATAAGTCAACTACAAATTCTGGTTAACTAAGACACCATCAACAGATTAATAAAATGGTACCATAATTGCATAAAATATTTGTTGTTCTTCTATATCTACAGATGTCTAAGTTTGAGGTTAATGAGCTATTGTGTATTTGAGTCAAGGTGAAAGATACATTCCACCTCCTGAGTGAGACATTGTTTATTAGACCTACTTTTATAGATGTGGGCACAAGAGCCGGTGGCATGTAATTACAGCCTGCTTTGTTGACATAGTTGGACAAATGCAAGTCATCCAAACTTTGAAATATAATTATTGCAATTTAAGTACCAGGTATGATATTAATGCGGTAACTTGACAGTACATGGTCTAGACATCCACAAAAGTTAACAATATTAGAATTTTCTGTTAATTTCTTTTGAATCTAGCACACGTCTACTCTGAGTAAATGTTTAACAGCAGTAACCCGAGCGCTACTGTGTTTGCATTTTATCATAACGAAATCCTTCTGGGTAAATATGTGCATAAGAAACACACTATTATTCTGATATTATACAGTTTTGGTGTTTTTGTCAAGTGGAAAATGTGCAAACTGAGTTGTATCTTGTTGCATCATAAAGTAATTAACAAAGTAAGCAAGTTTTAATTTTCATTTGGCTATTTATTACCCAGGATCCAGTCACTGCAAATGGATTTCTTTTCAGTCAAATTAAATATGAATGCTAGTTTTCCTCAACATAGATCTAAACACAAGGGTGTATAGGATGGATTTTACCTTGCAATGACAGTTCATTTTATTTCTTATGCTTGCTTCAATAGAATATGTTGAAAGATAGAGCATATTAGGATTTTGACTTAACATTACATTAAAAAAATAAATACCATTGGCATTACATATAATCAAATTTAAGGCCAATCTGCTTACATTATGCCATAGTAAACGTTTGGTATCAATGATAATGTAATAGACAGCAATAATATGCCATGATGCCTGACTACACATACTTATCTCATAATTTATCAGTTTGATTTCATAATAAAACTTTAATCAACTTATTGTATGTCTTGTATGTTATTGTATAGGGGCCGGGTGAGCTTTCTGGCTAGATTATTTTGACTAGTTCATAGCTAAACAGACTAATTTTAGCATTAAAATAATACCAAACGCGAATCTGAATAACCTTAACTTCTTTTTCGTCACTGTAAATCATATTACTCACGTTCCCGCTGACAATTGTGCATTTATAGTCCAAAAGTAACCTATAAATGCAGTTCTTTTCGTCTTTTCCGATCGCCGTTTGTAGGGGGACTGCGCATTTTTTTGATATCACGTAAATAACAAGTTAGTTAACATAAACGGTGAATTACCTTAACCTCCTCTTGGCCACTGTAAACCATATTACTCACAATCCCGCTAACAATTGCGCATTTTTAGCCCTAAAGAAGCCAATAGATGCGGTTATTTCAGCCTTTTCTGAGAGCGTTTTGGAGGGGGGCCATGCTTGTTTTTGACATCATGTAAATAAAGGGCAGGTCACGTGACGGCGTGCGAGTATATCCGCGGCCGGACGTAAACACGCAAAAGCAGAGCGAAGCAACCCGAGCATCTGGATGGTCGCTCAAATCCTGCTCTTAGCCTGTCTCTTTGACGCCTAACTAACCTGTGATCTTTTATTTGTATTTCTTTCCAACTTCAGCTACAGTGTTAGCTAAGTTTGGAGAGGAGGAAAGGGAGAAATAGCGTGTTTTGTTTCGTTTTTTCTTGCGTTGCCGCCTGCCGTATCGGGTCTTCGCAGCGCTAGCCGGAGTCAACCCCCTTCTATTACAAAAGAGGAGAGATAACCCAGAAAGAAGAAAACTCACTATTAACCTAGATATTTTTGTCTTAGGGATCTAAAATGGATAACGCAGGACCAAAGAAGACTTTCTGTGGTAGGCTACTGTGCATTGCATGGAAATCTGTGTCACCTTAGGCTACAACAATAGGTATTAGAAATAATTTACATTTTCATCGATCATATCTTTTACAGAAGCTGTCCAGGACTTCTTTACCTCAGCCAAATTCCTAATTTACATGGGGCATGCGCTGTCAACATGGGTAAGTGTAACTATAAGCTATTATTACCGTATTATTATCTGAAAAACATGATTACTCCTTGTAGTCTATTTGTATCGTTTTAAGCTTTATAAATAGTAGTCTGTGTGTTTTTGTAGTCTCAAATAAAATGTTACCCATTATTGTCATGGTATAAACTATTATTAGGATTGTATTGTGACCTGGATAAGTTAGTTGCTAGTCAAATATATTTATTCACAATAATAGGATATTTCTTAACAGAGAGGCTAATGTAGCAGGTAAAAGGAAGGAGATAGACTAGAGTCGATAGTATCAAGTTTGTCTTTAACACCTTCAAACAAAACCAGGTATTATTTATTCATGAATTCTTTGTGATCTCATCTTTTTTCCTGGCAAATGGAATTAGTAATTGTTATATCTATAACAGAGGTTAAATAAATAAATACTTGTGATCTCCAGGGTGACCGCATGTGGAACTTTGCCGTTGCTGTCTTTTTGGTGGAGTTGTATGGAAACAGCTTGTTGCTCACAGCAGTCTATGGGCTCGTGGTGGCCGGCTCTGTCCTGCTTTTAGGGGCCATTATTGGGGACTGGGTCGACAGAAATCCAAGACTTAAAGGTAAAGTTCAAGTACAACTGAAGATATCTTAACTTTTCCACAAATCAGTCCATTCTTAAGGACAGTTATGAAAGTATTACTGTTGTCTTTGTAATGTGGACCATATAATTTGGATAATGATAATTAACTTTTTACTAGAAATAATCTCAGCATAATCTCAAAGTCCTAGTTACCGTACAGTTTTATGTATAAAGACAAAAATATATATAATTTACTGGTAATGGCAAACCAGTTGAGGCAGTTTTGAGTCAAATAATATTTCGCTGTAATTTTTTCATTGTCAGTAATTAGTCAAATATTAATTGAGAAAACAGAGCAGTTGGAAGTTGTATCATAATTTCCATTGCCTTTTTAAACATTTGAAACTGCTTCAATGAGGACACATTATAAAACAAATCGCAAATCAATAATATCTCCATTGAGACACCATAATTGTCACTTAGGACACCTTTAAATGATTAATTCTACCATATAATTCTGAGCTGTCCTCTAGCTCAGTTTAAACTATTACTGTAGTTTTGAATGTTTTCTTGTCATGTTTTTCCCAAACCTATTCGTGGTTTCCAGTTAAGGAGGAAAAAAAGGGTTTCAATCTATGTTGTTTCTACAGTGGCCCAGACTTCTCTGATTGTCCAGAACAGTTGTGTGATCGTGTGTGGGGTCCTCCTCATGGTCGTGTTTCACTTCAAAGAGCAGCTCGCCGTCATGTACAATGGATGGATTCTGGTAAGATCTGATTTTCTGTGTCTCTGCAATAAGCTCCATGCTCTAGGCTATGTTCACACTTGTCCTGGTTTGGTCCAGGTTGAGTCCTGCTGTTGACTTATGGAGGATGCATTCAGACTTGCACTATCACCACATCTAAATTTGTTCCAAACAGGGGACTAAATCTGGAACTAAGTCTGGACTATAACAGGGCCAAACCAAGCCTACATAAGGACTCAAACTGGGTTCAAACCAGGACCAAAATAGGAATAGTGTGAGGTTGGTCCAGGTCTTGTCTTGCTTTAGTCCAGGTTTAATCTTATAGTGTGTTCACATTTGCAAATTCACCACATATTTTGGAATAAACTGGTACTAAATGTGATCCAAAGGTTGCTGGTTTGATTTCTGCATAACCTGGGCAAGATGTTTATCCCCCTCACCCCCAGTGGCTACAGTGAATGTGTGTATATGTAGAAAAGTGCAAAATGTGACCATTTACTAGACCAGGACCAAACCAAGTCTACATTAGGAATAGAGGGCTCAAACCAGGACTAGTATGAAGACAGCCATTTTGTCAGTGGGGTTATATTATCAAAAAGCAGGACTAACTAGGATTAAACCTACTCTAAACTGGGTTAGTACAATGATTAAACCAGGACCAAGACTAACCTGTAATGAACTAGGACTAAAAGTAAACTGTAGTCAAACTAAAGCATTAATAGAACTAATTTGGAATTGTGCCCATTTGAAAAACAGCAGGATCATCCTAATTCAAATCCATTAAAATTTTCCTTCCTCTACAGTAGTCTGCTGGGTTAATAATATATTTATGCAAGTCATATATTTGTTACTATACTGTTTGCTGTTTGTTTGTGTTGACAATGGCGCATTTAATATGTTTTTTTAGGGTCAGGTCATGTTAAAGATCTATAAATCTGCATTGTAAATACTTTGACCTCAATACTAGAACAGCAATGTGTTAACTGGCATGAACCTTGTAGGTATTTTATGTTTAGATTTTCTTGATAAAGAAAAGGAGTGTCCTCACCTGTTAGACTATAAAATACTTATAAAATACTTACTTATAATACTTATAAAATACTAAATGACCCTGTAACTTAAACTTATTTCATTATATTTGCAAGTGTTAGTTTTGTTTCCTAGCAACATAAAGATAATGTTGAATTTAAAGTTTTTAAAAGGTAAAAACATTGTCTTTCCAAGAACACTCAATTAAAAGACGAAAATAACCCTAAATCTTGAATAAACCAAGATAAAGTTTAAACTAAGACTATATAAAAATACTGTAAGTATAAAGTGAACAGAAAATAATTGACTAATGAATAATTATACTGAACAATTGGACAACATTCCTCTTATATCCAAATTGTTCAAAATATTAAAGGTCCTATATTACACAAAATGGATTCTTGTGAGCTTTAGACCATGTTATAATTTTGTTACCTCATCAAAAACATACCTGGAGTTGTGTTTTGTTTCATTCACACATGTCTGAGTAACTCTTTATAATTGGCCTGTCTACATTTCCAAAGCGTAAAATGCTAGATTTTTTTTTTTTTTTTTTTGCCTTTTACCTTCTTAGTAGAGATTGGGAATTCCAGGGCTGAAATCATCCAAATGATTCTAGTGAAGGTGTGTGGAGTTTAAAAACACAGTGGAGACATCACAAGGTGGAGTGTTTTCTGTTTTAGAGAAGAACTCAGCCTAAATATGCAGAGTTTGTGTGTCAAAAATGTGTAAATGAAACAAAACAAAACTCTGGGTATATTTTTGATGAGGAAACAATATTGTAATTAACATAGATCACAAAACAGCATAATATAGACCACTTAAAGGTGCATTGTCAGACAGACCTTTGCTGTAGCCTATATTATCTATGCATTATTTAAAATTGTCTCTTGACACAAAAAATTATAGTGGTTCTTTGTTGAATTTGCTTGTTTTGCTGATGATGATGATTTTGCTTAAACAAAATACAGTATGTCAACAAGGGCACAAAATGTCCTCTTCTTTACAGTACAGTATTATTACATATCTAGTTGTTTACATGTGTAACAGTGCTCTATCTAACATATGCTTGTCTTGCCTTCACAAAGAGAAACAAGTGGTGGACAATTTTAGACTAGGAAGTTGTTGATGCAATGATTTGTTACCAGGATTAACAGTTGTGTAAAGGGCGAGTGCATACTTGTCTTGTACAACACATGAAAACTGGCACTATACTTAACCTGGCTCACGCTTCACTATGTGAATCTGATTGGTTCAAGTGGAATGAGATGAAAAATCTAACTTCGGTTACATCCAATTGAGACAGAAGCACAGATATCTTCCCTGTCCACAAATGCACAAAGCTCTTACCTTCCACTCGTTTTTTCACTAACAACATAGTGTCATAGTATTGACACTAAAATAGGCTTTGGTTTCCATGCAAAAGTTAGTGCTGCTGCTCTATGATTGTTCGCCAACCACTTGTCGTGCCCTATTGCATCAGTGGGCGCATACTAAGATGGATTCTCATCAGTTTGTGAACTCACAAATATCACAAGAATCCATCTTGCTGTGCAAGACTACACTAAACTGGGACTAAACCAAAATTTTACTAGGGCTGCAGGCCTGCAACTAATAATTAGGTTATCAAAAATATTGAAAATTAGATATTAATCAATGCTAAAACCAGTATCAAAACTAGATACTTATTTAAGCAAGTATTAATACTGAAAAAAAAATCACATAAACATCACCACACAAATATAATTCTTTAGTATTGAAATTAATTTTTTATTTTTTTTTATTGTGACAACACTGCTAAAAATTATTTTAGTCGACTTGATTTAAATTTAGATATATTTTAACCAAATAAGGGTGGAAATGCTGACTTAAGCTTCTAGATATATTTACAGATAAAGTATATCACTGATGAAAATTAGAAATTTTTTATTCTTTTTTTTTTTTTTTTTATATAAATTTTAGCTTTAAAATGTGGCTGTCTTTCTTATAAAAGGTCCTTTGGTACGTACTTTTCTGTATACTCCAGGTATCAATGATCAAAGATAGAATTACAAATATATGAATAGTTGATTAGTCACAGTTATTAGAATTAATTGTTCTTGCCCTACTGAGAACTAAACCTGGACTAGAACAGGACCAAACCAAGTCTATACCTGGACTAAAGCAGGACCAAAGCAGGATTAAGTTAGCCAACTTGTCTTAACATTGTTGTGCTTCATGGGCTTGTTTACACTTGTTGAACTATGCGTCTTCAAATTGTAATCTGCCACTGACCAGCCCTAAGGGCTAAATAAATACTCCATATATTTACATTCAGGCCGTGTAGGTTGCGAAGGAGCAAACTGGGTGAAACACAATAGGCTTTCTGTATTGTAAGAATCCTACTACATTTCGAGGGCATAGGGAACAACGGACATTCTGCTAACTTTACAGAATAAGTCCAAGTTATTTGAACAAACCTTTGCCAAATCAAGT